AACAGCCAAGACACCTAAGTTCAAATCTGGCCTCAGATACTTACTAGCTGGTTGAGGAAGCCACCTAACATCTGTCTGCCTTGGTTTCCTCTTCTTTGTAAAATGAGAATAACAGCACCAACCTCCCCAGGTTGTTGTAAGAATGCGTTTAGAGGATTCCAGGAAGATGACAGAGTAGATCAGAAAATTCCAAGCTCTCCACATTTCCTCCACAAACAAGACAAAATGGTGCCTTAGGGCAAATGTCGAGCAGTAAAAATAAATGAGTTGGGGCAGAACAGTGGTCCTCTTGGGACAACCAGAGAAGATCTGAGATTTGGTCCCCGTGAAGTGTAAACATCTCCAGGCTAGTTCCACTGAAACAGCAAGCAGCAAGCCCTGGGGTTAGCTGGGTTGGGAGGTAGCCTGGCCCCAGCCACAGAGATTTTCACCTCCAGAACAGTGTGGGGAGTTGGGCATCTGAGTGGGGCAAGATTGAGGGAACCTCTGTTGATAAGGGATGCCAGGCCCAGCTGTGCTGCCAAGATGAGGTCCTAGGCAAGAAGGAAGCAGCACCCCCCCCCCCCCAAATAGCCCTCCCACCCCCACCATGAGTGGAGAAGAAGTAGGGCAGGGACACTGCTGGCTATGGGCACTTACAGCAGGGTGGAGTTCCTGGTTTTTGGTTCTAGGCCAGAAGGGAGAACTAAAAGAGGATCTGAGGCGAAAGGCACCATCTCCCATACAATAGGACTGGAGATAATTCTAATAATAAGTTCCTACAAATTAAACAAACAAACAAACAACAAGCAGGCTAAGGAAAAAGACCCCAACCATAGAAAGTTACTATGGAAATAGAGGAGACCAGGGTTCATCTTCAGAGGAGAATACTGGGGCAGCTAGGTGGCACAGTGGATAGAGAACTGGCCCTGAAGTCAGGAGGACCTGGGTTCAAATCCGGCCTCAGACCAAACACTTGACACTTACTAGCTGTGTGACCCTGGTCAAGTCACTTAACCCCAACTGCCTAAGGAGAAGAAAAAAAAAAAAACCAGAAGAGAATACTGAAGCAAAAAAAGCCTCTCCTACCCCAAAGAGTAATATCAAATGGTCACCTGCCCAAAAAGAATTCATACAAGAACTTTAAAAAGACTTTAAAAATCAAATGAGATTGAAGGAAAAAAGCATTCAATCCAAGAAAAACAAGAAGATTATGAAAAGAAAATCAACCAACTAGAAAAAGAGATCCAGAATTTTAAGGAAGAAAATGATTCCTTGAAAATTAGAACTAGGCAAGGGGAAGCCAGTGAAGTTATAAAAGACCAAGAAATAACAAAACAAAATATAAAGAATGAAAAAATAGAAGAGAAAGTGAAGCATCTTATAAGAAAAACAACTGATCTAGAGAACAGATCAAGAAGAGAAAACATAAGAATAATCAGACTACCTGAAAGCTATGATCAAAAAAAAGAATCTTGATACAACAATATAAGAAATTAAAGAAAACTACCCTGAAGTGTTAGAACAAGAAGGGAAAACAGAAATAGAAAAAGTCCACTGATCACTACCTGAAAAAGATCCCATGAGAAAAACCTACAGGAATATCATTGCTAGATTCTGAAATCCCCTGGCTCAAGGAAAAATATTATGAACAACAAGAAAAAAAAATTCAAATATGGTAGAGCCGCAATTAAAATCACATAAGACCTAACAGTGGCTACACTAAAGACTGCAGGTCTTGGAACACTATATATTGAAGAGCAAAAGAACTGGGGTTGTGGCCGAAAAATCATACCCAGCAAAGTTAAGCATAATCTTGAATGAAAAAAAAAAATGGACATTTAATGAATTGCCAGACTTTCAGGATTTTGTTGCAAAAAGACCTGAAATTAATAGAAAATTTGACACAAAAGATCAAAGAGAAATATAAGGTAAACATCAAAGATTAATTACAAGGGACTCAAGGACAGACTATTTACTTTTTATACAAGAAAATGTAAATCGTATGTCTAAGACGGTTATTAGTAAATGGTTAGGTCAAAAGAAAGACTGAGGTAGTGCTGAGAATGATGTGACACTAAAAAGTAAGCCGTTTAGGAAAAGGTAAAAAGAGTAACTATCTTATATAGATGAGGTGCAAGAGGAAGAACTAACACAGAGGAATTAGATGGGGGAGGACGGCTGGCAGTTCTGGAACCCTACTCTCTCCGAGAATGGGTTAACAAGGGAACAATGTGGATAGAAGGGCATAAGTCTTCTAAATTCAGAAATAAAAGGGGATAGGGAGGGATTTCAGGGTGGGGGGAGAGGATAAAGGAGAGATCTTTAATGGGGGGGTAGGTTAAGTAACAGAAAGGCAAGGTAACAAGTAGAAAAGTCAGGAGGGATAGGAAATAGGAGATATACACAAATGTAAAAAAAGATCAGGAGCAGAACTTACAACGGAAAAAAAGGCAGAGGTAGTAATCATGATCTCAGAAAAGTTAAAGCTAAAATAGATTTAACCAAAAGAGAAAAAAAGGGAAAGTACACTATATGCCAGCCATATTAAACAATATTGTTTTAGACTATTTAAAATAACCAGACAGTACAAGGTTGGAATATTGCTGTGGTATAGGAAATAATGAGTTGGTGGACTTAGAAAAATATGCCAAGACTTGGACCTATGAAGGAAGATGTTATCCACCTTCAGAGAAATAAAGGACAAACAAGTATAGTATGGTTTTACATAGATGCATATGAATGTATATGTCTATATATGAATGATTATAGATATCTAAGTATATATGTATATGTTTGTGTGTGTGCATATGTGGGGGGGGTGTGGGGGAGAAGAGGAGAAAAAAAGAAAAAAGTAAAAAGTGTACAGCAGAGAACAAAAGAAAATTTACAAAGAAGCAAAGAAAAGATGGACAGCTTGGGACACAATGTGTTATATTTATTATATAGGTTTTCTTGAAGTGGAAATTTATTGCTGTATCTTTTGAATCCTCTGCTATGTTCTACTGTGCACATACATGGCAAAGCTTTTTTTCTTTTCTTATTCTGTATTTAAATTTTAGCTTTTAAGTTTATGTTTTCCTTTCTTATTGCATATTTAAGTTTCAGTATTTAAGTTTAAAATAAATTAATAAAAAAAGAATGCACTCAGTTTAATACTTGTCATATAGTAGGTACTTAGTAAATCTATCTTTCCATTCATTCATCTGTACATCCTTCTTTCCTTCCTGTTTTTGTTAAATATCTTTTACTTTGGACTAACATATCCCGCCTGGCTGATAAAAGTAAATGGTTTGCAAGGAGGGCCTTGGGGGTATGAGGGTATGATGTGAGCCATGGTTTTTAGTCACCACTGACCTAAAGAGTACCTCAAACTTGTTACTGATTTGCTGGGGGCTCAGGTATAAAAGGGTAGGTGATACAGGCATAATATAGGTAGTACATATGAAGCCAGTAGGGTTTCTTTCCTCTCATGATAACAATAACTACCAATTTTCACAAAGGCCCATGATACAACATAAATTTTTTTCCCAGTATTGTCTTTTTTTTTTTTTTAAGGCAATTGGGGTTAAGTGACTTGCCCAAGGTCACACAGCTAGTAAATGTCAAGTGTTTGGTCTGAGGCTGGATTTGAACTCAGGTCCTCCTGATTTCAGGGCCGGTGCTCTACCCACTGTGCCACCTAGCTGCCCCCCAATATTGTCCTGAACATCATGTTTTTTCCACAAAGGCTTGGGGTCAATGATCCAAAAGTAGTGTTAGTTTGGGGTTAAAGTGTAATGAGTACAGCATTCAGGGCCTTGGTAGAATGAAGAGTTCTTTGCTCCTCACACCTCCCCTTCCAGTTAGTTATACATAATTAAGTGGTTGAGACATGATTCAGAACCATGTCCTCTGACTCCAAATATCGTAATTACAGCACATATTCCTATTAAATATAAAATCTAATCTTCTTCTTCTTCTTTTTTTTTAGGCAATTGGGGTTAAGTGACTTGCCCAAGGTCACACAGCTAGTAAATGTCAAGTGTTTGGTCTGAGGCTGGATTTGAACTCAGGTCCTCCTGACTTCAGGGCCGGTGCTCTATCCACTGCGCCACTTAGCTGCCCCTAATTAACAACCCTATGAAGTAGGTACTACTATTATCCTAATTTTGCAGTTGGGGAAAAACTGAGGCTGAGAGAGGTTAAAATGACTTTCCCAGGGATGCACAGATATTAAGTGTCTATGACAGGATTTGAACTTAGATTTTTTTGATTTTAAGGTCAGCACACTCACTCACACATACTCTCTCTCCATATACATACACTCTTTTCTGTTTCTACTGGTACCCACCCTTCAAGAGCAGGCCTAATCCTTGGCCAAGTTTCCACTCACTGTGACCAGTACTGATGGATAGGAAATTAATCTCCATTTCTCAGAAAACGTCCCCTCTTCTTTTTGCAGGGGTGTGGGGAGGGTGGTTAATGGGTATAAAGCAGGGGTGGGGAACCTGTGGCCTTGAGGCTATGTGTGGCCCTCTAGGTCCTCAAGTTCAGCTCTTTGATTAAGTCCAAACTTCACAGAACAAATCCCCTTAATAAAAGGATTTGTTCTGTAAAACTTGGACTCAGTCAAAAGGCTGCACCAAGGACCTAGAAGGCCAGATGTGGCCTTGAGGCCATAGGTTCCCCACCCCTGGTATCCAGTAATACACCATCAGACTTAGTTGATGTGCTTGGTTTTTATGGACTGCTTGTAGTCTGCCTTTAAAAGAATTGTTTTTTTATAAGGAATTGGCTGGCAGGGTAGTAAGGGGATAGATACATTCAGAAATAAAGAAAATAAAAAACAAGATTGATAAAATTTTTTTACAATAAAGATATCTACACCAATACCTATGAAAATGCCACAAGATACTAATGACTGCTCATCTACGATGTTAGTTGCTCCAAAGTCCCTATCCCTAAACCAACCTTGTGTATGGCGATGCCTCATTACCAAGTACATTGTTTAAGAAAAAAGCTGTCAACCCATTGCTTACCGCATATTCTTCTGGGGTAACCTTAAGAACATCGAATACCACAGCATCAAAACTCTTCTTCAGTTCAGAGCCTTTGTCACTTAATGATTCAGAACTGCTACTTTTCTGTCAATATAAAAGCAAACATCATAGCAAGTTTAATATATAGTCACTAGAGTTGTGATGGAAACTAAGAGGCAAAATACAAATGACAGTTTTGAAAGTGTTGAACAATTAAGTACTGTAAAAATGTGTTGTTGAGAGTGTATCTGAGATATAATTTGCCTTGTTTTTAAAAGCACTGACCTGGGAGCCAGAAGACTGGCTTTGCAACTCATTTATTATCTATCTCTAGGCCAGTTTCTTCATCTACAAAACTGCAAAATTAGTCAAGATAATCTTTTAAGGTGCATTCCTGATTACCACTGGATGATTAAATGATATTAATAAATAAGACAATCTTTTTCTCCAAGGTAAGAGGCCTACCATATAGGAAATAGGGTTTGGAGAACACTAGAACAATAAATAAAATAATTACAATTCAATGATACATGTATTAGAAAAAGTTATAAACAAACATAAAATTATTCCAGCATAGAAGCAGAGAGTTCAAAGAGAACTTTAAAGTCATATAGTCCAACATTCTACCCAATTCGAAATCTAGTGGTGTGGTGTACAAGATGTGAAGTTGGAGAATCTGAGTTCAAATCCCTGGTCAGCTGTGTACTATCCGTGTGTTCCAGGGCAAGGCATTTAACCTCTATAGGCCTCAGTTTCCTTATCTTAACATAGAGAGAGTTTTTATTGAGAATATGGAGAATTGTTTAGTTCTAAATTCATCTGTAAAATAAGAAGGTAGACTAGATGTGATCCCATGCAGCTTCAATCTATGTTCCTTGTTGATACTGAACAAGATACTTCAAGGGAAAGGATGAAGAAATTACCATTTAAATCAAAGTAAATAAATCAGTTATGATTCACTGAATAACTGTAACAAATACATAGCAAAAGATAAAACCTAAGACATCTAAAAAAATAGAAAGACTATAAACACACTGCTTTCAATTTACAATTACAATGAAAGCTAATTCAGGACTTCTAAAATTTAGTAAACAGAAAATTTGAACTGGATGTCCCAGAATCATCTTAAACTCAACTTGTCTCAAATTTCACTCATTATCTTTCCACCTAACTTCTCTTCCAAAATTCCCTATTTCTGTTGAAGGCACTACTATCCTTTCAGGATCTTAGGTTTGTAATCTCAGCACTTTCCTAGACAACTCCCTCCAGATCCTACATATCCAATCAGTTACCAAGTCTTGGTCTTTCCACCTTCACAACATCTCTCCCATTCTAACCCTTCTTTACTCACACAGCTACCACTTTAGTTCAGGTCCACATTATGTCTTATCCAGATTATTATAATGACGTCTTAATTGGTCTCCCTAACTAGTTCATCCAATAGCCAGGTGGTACAGTGGAGAGAACATTGGGCCGGCACTCAGGAAGATCTGAGTTCAAGTTCTGCCTCGTACACTTAGTATACTAGTTGTACGACTGACCCAGGGCAAATCACTTAATCTCTATTTGTCTCAATTTCTTCAACTGTGAGCTAGAGATAATAATATCACCCACTTTCCAGAGTTATTATAGGGATCAAGTGAGATAATACTTATAAAGTGTTTAGCAAATGTCTGGCCCATAGCAGGTGCATTATTATTATACATCATTGCCAAAATGACTGTCCTTAAGTGCAGATCTTATCATGTGACTCCCTGATTATAGTGGGTTCTACTGTCTCTAGGATAAAATACAAACTCCTCTGCTTAGATTTTAAAGTCCTACACAACATGGCCCCAAATTATCATGTTTGCCTCACTGGACATTATTCTTCCTTCCTCACTGTCATCTAGCCCAAATGGCCTTCTCTCTGTCTTCACACATGATACTGCATCTCCCATTTCCATGTACTTGCCATGCACATTCCTCATGCCTAAAATGTACTCCCTGTCCATTATTCTACCTCATAGAATCCCCCCTTCCTTCAAGACACAGCTAAAGCACTATCTTCTGCATGAAGCCTTTAATGACCTCTTCCCAATTGCTAGTGCCATCTCTCTCAAAATACACTGTATTTAACTGCTCTGTGTATACAGTCTCAGTGCAGTTTTAAGCTACTCACTTAAAAATGCATATAAATTTATTTATTCCCTTTATGTTTGATGTACTTATTATCTTTCTCATTAGAATATGATAAAAGCTCTACTAGCTAGGATTTATATAGCATTTAACAGTTTGCAAAGTGCTTTCCAATTGTTATCTCACTTGATGCTCACAACAACATGGGAATGTAGGTGCTATTATTATTCCCATTTTTGAGATGAAGGAACTGAGGAAAATAGTGATTTGCATGGGGTCACACAGATAGTAAATGTGTAAGGATGGATTTTAAACCCAGAATTCTTGACTTCAAGTCCAGCAATCTATCCACTGCACCACTTAAGTTCATTTTGAGTAGGGATTGTTTGACTCTTTGTACATGTATCCCTGGGTGTCTAGCATAGTTTAAGGTATGTGCCAGGTGTTTAATACTGATTGACTGATTGTCTGTAATTGATTAGGTCCCTGACCAGGAAGTCAGACATGGGGAAGTGAGATGATGCTGCTGTCTATTACTTTTGTCTTAATTATTTTGTTTAGTCATGTGCTTTTACCAGAACAGTAAATGCTGAATTTTTGCAATGGTAGACTCAAACAAAGAATATTATAGTGCCTGGTATATAGCAGGAGTTTAACAAATATTTATTCTCTTCTCTTCCCAAATTTCACATGGCATTCTAGAACACAGAGCAGCCTAGATTACCTCCAAACACCCCAGGGGGCTTATAAATATACTAGTCTACAAAGAAACAAAAAGAATTAGTTTTTAGACTACTCCATCCAGCACAGGAATCCACCAATCTCTAGAGTCCTTTAGAGACCCTGAGATGGATAAATCAGGGAAGATAGAAAGCAGAGTGTAGATCACTTAAGAGATCTATGGTGGGGTCCAACTGGACACTAATGGCCCTGAGCACAGTAAAAGGCAAAAAGCCCTAGGCAAAGACTAATCTGAAATCCCTAAAGCCTGCAAGAGCCTAGGGCAACAGAGTAGCCCGGGGAAAATTCTGGTGGTACATGGTGCAGTACTAGCAACCTAAGCCAAATGGCCAGAGAAAAGGCTCTTAAGTAAAGGCCAGTCAGGCATCCCAGATCCTGGTGGGAGTCCAAGACCAGCAGCAGGGGGAAAAGACCCCAGGCAGAGTCTAAAACAGGGGAAGGTCCCATAGCCCTATGTCAAGAGGGAGCCCACAAGCATAGCAAAGCTATGGTATAGCAGTCCTAGAATCTCTTGAAGAGCCTCATCTTGATCATCATACCCAGGACCAGAAAGGTCCTGTACAGGGCATTCAGTTAAACTTGATCCAACCAGGCTCCCTCACTTGAGAGACTGGGGCAGATAAGATAAGCAAACCAAGTAAAACACCAAATATTATGAAGAAATGTATTGTAGCTACTCCCAAACTTGGCTTGAGAAATGTCCAGGGAGTAAGCTGAGGTAGGATTGCAACTGAATAAAAAATATGCTGAGGAAAAATGTCCTGGCCATAAAAATATAAGAGTATCTGGAAGAAATGAAACAAAAGGTACAAAATGGAATAGCTAGGAAGAAAACCTGTCAAAGAGAATTGATGACTAAGAACAGATGGTGGAAAATGTCACCCAAGAATGGAATGACCTGAAAATGAAAATGAGTCAAATTGAAAATGACTCAATAAGAAGAGAAATATGAGAACAAAAATCAAAAGACTGAAAAAAACCAGAAGAAAATCTAAAAGACACTATATCAAAAGCAGCTAAGCTAAAAAATAGGTTGAGAAAATCTAAAAATTGTTGAACATTATGAAAATTATAACAAGAAAAAAATGTGAAAATCAAATAATAAAACTGCCAAGAACGCTCAGAATCAGAGAGCAAATTGAAAACAGAATTTTCTGGTCACTTCCTGAAAGAAATACTAAAATAAAAATCCCCAGAAATGTCACAGTCAAATGCTACAGCTTCCAGGTCAAATAAAAAATACCACAATCACTTAAACTAGGATAAGTTTAAGTACTAAGGAACTAATGTAAGGATCAAGACTGATGGGGGATACTTAAAAGGAGAGGATAGCTTGGAATATGATATTCTAAAAGACAAAAAGATAAAGGCTTAGAACCAAGGAAAACCAATCCAGAAAAACTAAGGATAATCCTACAGGGAAAAAACACATAGACTTTTAGTGGAATAGGAGATTTATTATTTACATGTTATTAAGGGAATGAAAAAAGAAGTGGATTCTCTGAACCCTAATGTCTTGAAAAGTCATAGAAAACAGTAAAAATGACAAGGGGCCTCAAGATGGTTTTACTCTATTTTTATGGTCTTAGGAAAAGATAAAAATGAGAGGAAAAGAGAACTCCAACAGAGAAGAAATAGGTTGTTTTCATTTGTAGATGACAAGTGTTAGGAAGATTTCCTGTCTTTAACCATCTTCCTACTCGCAATGAGCAGGTTGGGAGCAAATATAAGGAAAAGTAAAAGAGAGGATAGAGGGAAAAACATATTTAATAACCATAATACTGAATATGAATGGAATGAATGCACCTATAAAATGGAAGAGAAAAGAGGACCAGAAAACAATCCAACAATATTCAAGAAATAAACCTGAAACACAAAGATTCATACAGAATTTCAATGAAGGGCTGGGGCTAAATCTACTATCTTCAGCTGAATTAAAAAAGCAGAGACAGCAATCATGATTTCAAACAAGGCTATAGTCAATACAGACATAATCAAAAGGATAAGCAAGGAAATTATGTTTTAAAGACACCATAAATAAATATAACTACTTAATATATACATACCTAAGAGCATAATATCTAAGTACTGAAAAGCTGGTCAAATTGGAGAGAGAAAAAGATTTTACAACTATAACAGCAGGTGACCTTAACGTACCCTTTTTGAACCTGGATAAATATAACCAAAAGTTAAAGAAGAAAGTTAAGGATCTGAAGAGACCTTTAGAAAAATTAGAGATGACAAAT